ATTTTTGCTATTTTTAATATACATATTTTTATTTAAAAAATATTAAATTCTGAAACTGAATCGTTATATTTCCATTATGCAGTTTTTTGGCAATAAAGTGATTATTTTTCCCCTCCCAATAATCATTTTCTCCTGGATTTTATATAAAATATAAATATATATTTTTGTAGTATATATGAAAATGTATGTAATATAGAAAATATATTTTTACATCTTTCAAATAAAAATAATCCCTTTAAAGGATGTCTGAACCTTGATATGGAAATATAACGATTCAGTTTCAGAATTTAATATTTTTTAAATAAAAATATGTATATTAAAAATAGCAAAAATATAAGATTATAAATGTTAAAATGTTCTGATTTTAGTATTTTAAATAATTTTCTTTAAAAAAAAGTACATGAAAAATATATTGGTGTATTTTTATTTCTAAATATTTCTTGCATTCTTTTTTATTTCAAAAATATATTGAAATTTAAGATTAAAATTTTTAAAATATTCTTGGTAGTACATAAAATAAAGACAATGCCTTTGAAGTAATTTACATGCAAAATATAGAAAACCCTTAGTGTTTAAAATATAAGATTAAAGATTTTCACATATTGAATTGCAGATTTTATTCAAAATAAATATTTGTATTCCCTTAATTGATATTTTAAAAATACATTTCTTGTTAAAATTAAAAAAAAATTAAAATAACAGTTTTATTTTATAACCTGAAAACTTCCTCATTGATTTTATTTTTACTTTTCACAGATTAGCACTAATGTGACTAGATTCTGACGCTGCATATTGTACATTTGAACTTATATAAATCACTTTTTTTACTCTAAGTTTCTATTAACCACTAAACAAATGATACTTTTTAACTTCCCATAAAGATGTAAACTGATGACTATGTGATGACGTTTCCATGTTTGCGGTGCAACATAAAGCACAATGTCACATTTTCTTCTTAAATTCTGAATAATCAAAGTTAAAAAATACTTTTGTCTTAAGCTCAATCTACCAACGGACTGTTAACTTCCTGAGTTTGAGGCTTTTACAGTAATTTATACGATTTTTAAAGAAGCTTTTTGTGGTAAACGTGTAAATCTAAAACCTCTAGGTTTTATGACTGGAGATCCTGATCAAAACTCTGCAGAATCAGATGTTGTTTTTGGTGAAGACGGAACCGCTGACCCCGAAAGAACCAGATCCATAAAAACCAAAGCCGCTGCTGCAGAAAACATCCGTCCTGATGCAACACTGAGCGCAGCTGCAGCAACGGGCAGCAAGAGCAAGAGCGCCCCTAGTGGGGAAACGGGTAAACTGAGTCTGGAGTCAGACTGCATGCGTCAGAAACGAAAACGGACAAAACGATTGGCTGAGCTGCACGACGTCAGTCTAACCGCCTGTTATAGTCTAGAAAAATCCGACTTTATATGTCATACCAAACCAAATGGTTTCTCTCTCTTATTTATTTAGTTTCAATCATAACATATCTTTGTTCTTCTGCATTTGGTGCATGAGTTGAATTGCCAGTTTAACTCACTGAATGGATATAATCCTTGTAAACAATGACAGAGAGGCTCTGAAATGATTGTTTTGGAAAAATATTCTGACGTTTCTGTCCTTTTATTTTCAGAAAATGGGAGAATTCAAGGAGCCAAAGCAGCCAAACCTGGTGAACATTTGTCCACTTTCCCCTTAATCTCAGTTTAACAGCATCTAGTTATGTTGAACGAACAGATTAGATGCAGGTAGCATGTTGTTATTATAGTCTCAGGTTGGTTAAAACAACAAATTAGTTTCTTTATTTGAAAAAAATTAACCCTTTTGTGTGTTTTGGTTGAAATTTTTTAAATATGTTTATTTTCTTAGGTTAGTTAAAACCAAGAATTAGTTTCTTTATTTGAAAAAAATTACTTTCTTAGTGTTTTAGTCCTAATTCTTAAAATGTGTGCATAATAAACATTTGTTTTGGTTTGCAGGCTGTGGACCAACCGGACAATGGATGAAGAGGCTAAAATCTGGTAAATTTACTGTGTTAGTGAGAATTTTAGTGTGAAATGCTGGTTTACTGAGGAGTTTAGTAAAATATTAAAGGGAAATTCAGACATAGATCCAGCACTGTCACAGGATTTCTTGAGTCACTCCATTTTTAGGGTTATAAAGGTTTATTTTTATATGAAAATTAACACTAATTTGCGTTGGATTTCTTTAAACGTTCTGCTGATTCGTTTAGAAAACGCTAAATAAAATTTAAAATAATTATTTTCACTCTTTAGGGAATGGAGGCGATGCTAAAGCAAACAGACCTGGTATGCAGGGCAGCAAATGTTTCCTTATTTTTGCTTTTTTTACTCTTTAACTTTTCTTATTCTTTGTTCTGATCTTTTATTTTTATTTTATCTGTTTTCTTATCCTGTCTTCTTTTCCTTCTTGTTTTACGTGTAATTTTACCTCATTTCTTTATCCTTTTCATTTTTTATACTTTTTTTTCCTCTTGTCTTTATTTTAATTTATTTTTATGTAATTTTACTTGATTTTTTTTTTAAATTCCTTTTCTTTTTATAATCCATTTTAAATTTTCTTTTTTTTCTCTACAGATCTCTTGCTGTAAAATAATTAATCTTCTTCATTTGGTTTATTTACCAATATTTTTTTCATCAAATCATTAAATTTTGGTTATTATGTGATTTGATCTTTAGTAAAATAAACCCTGATGGAAAAAGGAACCAGTTATCCTCATGCATGCAGCAGGTTGATCCGTTTACCTGTTTCTCAGCTGAATCTGAATAAAATTATGTTAATTTTTAGGAGGATTCAACTTTCCAGGACTCAGTAATGGACATGGAGCAGGTGAAATTCCTTAGTTAGACTTTACATGTAATTTATATTTGATTGCTATAAGTGGATTTGTACCATCAAGTCTTGCGTATCCCTACGGAGGAAGCATTGCTCAGCCTGGTAAATGCTTTTATTTTGTAGGAGTTTGGGGGAAAATTCTGATTTTAAAAATGTGGGATGCACTTTTGTAAACTGATCTGTTTGGCTGCAGGTTACGGACGAGGCGTCTACCCTGCAGCTGGATACGGAAACCTATATGGAGGTTTGACGCTAAATATGTTCTCTGTCTACATGTTCAGTTTTTATTATTTTTTAGATTAGTGTCTTTAAATGACAATGTAAGTAGGAGAATATTTGAACATTTTCTGCAGAAAATCAGTTTTGGTTTATATGAAAGTTTTTTTCTTTCTGCAGCTCTTGGTCAAGTTTTGCCTGCTGCTGAACAGTCGGGTCTGAACAACGTGACAACAGAGAAGATATTTAGCTAAAAATGTCACTAAATGTATGAAAATAATCTGTCGATGCCTGTTTTACAGGGGGAACCACTCAGGTTTCATTTGGTGAAGCTCCTGCTGGAATTGACGGTGAGATAATTTATTTTTTTATTTAAATTAGGACAATGCATATTAATAACAGCAGTTAGCATCAATGTAAATATGCCAGAGTTAGCATAACAGCTCATTTTCATCCGTTGGCAAGAGAAAAACAGACTTTTTAATGTTAAGGCCATTGTAGATGGAAAAAATTAGAAAATTTACTCCTAAAAACTCAGAATTTTCTTTAAAATCTCAAAAATTTATACATTTGAAATGTCAAAACTTTTCTAGAAAAACTCACAAATTTTTAGATTAATTTCAGAAATTTTCTAGAAAAAAACTTGGAAATTTTTGAGTGTGAAAATTAAAAAATTTACTAAAAAAACAGAAATTTCCACTTTTTTCTTGAAACTTTCTGGATTTAATGACAAATGTTCTGCATTTGAAAAGTTGAACAGTTTCAAGAAAAAAAAGACTAAAATTTTGAGATTAATTTTCTAGAAAAAAATTAATTTCTGAGTTTGAAAAGTTTGAAAATTTGTGAGAAAACTCAAAATGTTGAGCTTAATCTCAGAAGTTTTCTAAACAACAATTAATTTCGACTTTGCAATTTCAGAAAATTTTCAACTTTTGAAACTCAATGGTTTTGTCTCAATTTTCCAACATTCTCAAAATTTCTGATTTTTTGGGGGTCAAGAATTTATTTATTTTTTATGTATTGACCGGTGGTTCTAGTACGCTGTCGTAGTTATTTCATCCAGCAGAGGGCACTATTAGTGAAATTAAAATAAATTAGTTTAGCAAGAAGCAGATTGTGGTCGATTGTTTTAAAGCACCTTTCAGGTAAAAAACAACATGACTGTTCTTCTGTGCACGGCGCAGCAGTTCCTCACATTCGTTTTGCATTAACTCATTAAGGAATAAGTCAGCTGGAGGCTCAGCATGCAGGCCTTCTTCCACACGGAGCGCCTCCTGGTGGTCAGACGCTCGGACTGACTGCGGAAAAATCAAACTCCAAATACGGTGAGCTTCATGCAGCAGCAGAGCACCTCTAACGTGTGACCTGTCCAGTCAGACGTGTCGGTCTGCCTGTGCTGCTTCAGGGGTTGGCGGGCTGCAGTTTGGGGAACCTGTCCATCTGGGAACCAACGGGGCAGGAAACTACGGTATGTGTGCGACAGCTGCAAAGTTTCGCCTCCATCACTGCATCATGATTTGTCTCATGTCTGTTCAGGTTATGGAGTTAATCCGCATCTGCCTGCAGGCGACGCTAAAGAAACGGGAAAATACGGCGAGAACTCGATTATTAAGAACAATCACTCATTTGAGGAAACAACCCAAACAAGCAAATGTTTTATCAGTCCTAAGTCCTCAGTATGGAAGCTCATCACTGCCATAAAAGAAAAAATAAAAGCCCAGCGGAAGTCATAATTGAGTTTGAACATTCAAATTTTGACTTTGATGGTCATAATTGAAATAAAGGGATAACTTTGACTTTCAAACTCATGATTGATGTAAAAAGGTTATATTTATGATATAGAAAATCTTAATTTTGACTTTCAAAGTTATAATTATTACAGAAAGTCAGAATTTCTAAGTCAATTTTGAGATAGAAAGACTCATAATTATGAGAAGTTCTGTCATAATTTTGACAGAAATTCAAAATTATGAGGTAGGAAATCAAAATTTCAACTTCTCTAAGAAGGCTTGCTCCTTTGGAAACCTGTATCTAATAATTGAGACTTTAAATCTTGAAATTATGACTTTCAATGTACTTTTTACCTTTTCAGATGAAAAGTGAAGTTCAAACAAACCTGACAATTGAAATAGCAAACAAAATGCAAAGCATTATTTTTTGATATTTGTCTCCAAAATACGGTTATTAGGATAAAACTCTGTGCTTCCATTTTTATATTTAAATCAAACATAATCAAAAATCTGCTTCCTTTTAGCAGAAAATCATTTCTATTAATTTTATTTTTCTTCTTTTTGTTCAGGATATGGAGGCGTCCTAAACGGTGGGCAGCTTTTAGGCCTGGGTAACAATGGAAATATACCAGGTAAAAATGGTACAAACTTGGATCTGTTGTCATTTTAATAATTAAATCTCAAATGTTAATAATCTGTTCAGGTTATGGGACTCTTCCTTATGAAGCTCAACCAGCTGGATTTACTCCTGAAGCGATTTCTGCCAGCCAATACGGTAAAAAGGAGAATGTTAAAACTATGAAATATTCATGGAATAACCCTCAGACATGAAGTTGAGAAAAATACTACAAATATTACGGTAATCCAAAGGAGAAACAAGCAAATTAAAGCCAATGAAAATATAAACTCAAAACAATACACTTCTGTTTTTTATTTATGGCTTACTCCATTGATTAATTTTATGATTAATTTTAAAATGAATGCAGGTATTAACCATGTGAAACTGATTAAATGTGTAGTATGAAACTGAGAAAAAAATAAAAAACTCCATCATGTTTGTGCATGGTTATAATCAGATTCTGTTCATTTTCTGTCATTCAGGCCTCATTGGATCACCGTATCATCCTGCACCTTCTGGATTTGGATATAACGGGAAATCATCTGCAAAATATGGTGAGATTAATCAAACACAACAAAAGACACACAATTGATTGAAAATTGATTTAGTCAATTCAAAATTGACAAATTGTAAAGTTTACAGGTTCCTGGGCTAAGCTAACATTAGCATGTTTGCTCTGTTTTCATACAACTTGTTGATAATTCAGCTACTTGCACATTTTGACACAGTTCCTCTTAGTGCACTGCAAAAACACCACATCTTACCAAGTAGTTTTCATTTAGTTTCTAGTGCAAATATCTTAAAACACTTGAAATAGGACAAAATCAACTTATATGTAACTTTTCTGCAAGATATAGGAGCTTGTTTTAACTCAAAAATCCTTAATATTGATGAAAAAAATACTAGTTTCTTTGGGAGATTATTTCACTTATGGGAAAAATGTTTTATGTGTGCCTAGGACTTGGTCAGTGTTAAAGTCTTACTGACTTAAAACAAGCTCCAATACTTCTAAGTTAGTTTTGTCTTATTTCAAGTGTATTAATATATTTGCACTAGAAACTAGACAAAGCTACTTGGGAAGGTTTTGTGTTTCTGCAGTGTCATGTAAGAAAAACAATAAAAAACAAAAAAACTTGCAAAGTTGTTCTGTTCCATGAATTGATCATTTTGCTTTCATCACAGTAAAAACTGATGATTGGTATTTCAGTTGTTACATACAGGAATCTGCAACAGTCAGTTGAGTTTATTCTGTGAATAAAGTGTAATAAACACTTTGCCAGAAAAGGCAAAAGAGAGAAAAGGAAAATAAAGACAAGAAAAGAGAAGTGTAAAAAAAATAAAACGGGTGAAAGATAAAAAAGATTTTTTTTAAAATCACAGACAAAAGTAAAGAATAAAAAATCATGGAAAAAGATGTGACAAACACTTATTAGGGGTGATAATCCAGATTAAACAGTGTGCACAGAAAATGCAAAAGAAAATTTTAAATTGCTAAAATTACAGCTGGTCCACATAGTTGCTACCAGATCAAGTTTGCAATTTGCAAAAAAAAAAAAAAAATTTACTAGATTTTTTTTTTTCTTTTACAAAATGTTCTTACTTACTTGAGTATAGTTAGAATAAATGTACTTTAAGTAAAGGTTGGATTTTTCTGACATGTCAAGATTTTTCAGGTTTAGTTCATTTTGAGGTGTTTTGTTCGTTTTCTGATCTGCTTTATGGGGAACTCACTGCAGGTGGTGGAGAGACTCCCTACGCTCCACAGACTCTTGGTTTTGGAGAAGCAAAATCAGGAAAATACGGTGTGTTTTATAAAGTGTTGTGAGTATTTTCAGATTATCTGTTGCTCTGCAGCAGTTTATAATTTAATTAAATCCCAGCAGGTAAACAGGAAGCTCAGCAGTCTCAGCCTCTTGAAACTGCAGCTGGAGGTAGAAAAAATGAAGAATGCATTATTAAAACTTTAAAACTCCTATAATGGATTAAAAATGTGGGGCATGATTGGCTTTTGCAGATACAATGGGTTTAATTTATGACCGTCAGCCTCCTGAGACAGAATTACCTTATGGTACAGGAAGCAGTTTTTACTAAAAATGGATAAATGAAACCAACTTCTGTTTTATTTCATGTTTTTCTTGTAATCATCATTAGCATTTGCAGTCCAAGGTAGGTCTGGGTCTGTAATATAAGCTGAGTTAACTCATGCAGCTCAGCTAAAGCTACAGGATGGAACTTTTAATTAATTAATTTTTTACATATTTGTTTTGACATCAAGGTAAGAGATAATCTGGGGGGAGGGAACTTGAGCTTCCACCTCTCCCAGTGCTAACTAGAAACAACCAATCAGAACCAGGAGGCGGGTCTTAGTGCTGCCAATCATCCTCTGTACACTTCTGCTAGCTTAGCCTGTTGAAGCTAGTTAGCATAGTGACTGCGGATAAACAGTTTTCCTGTAACTGTAAGTTGTTTTTCTGCTATTTGCATAATTAGTAGTACATGAGGAAGATTGACAGTGCTAAGACCCTCCTCCTGCCTCTGATTGGTTGGAGCAGTGGATTTATTTTCTGCAATACTAGCTCAGTCAGATTGATATTTGTGCAGATTTTACAGAACATGGTGACAGTTGAAACAAACGTGTAATTTTTTTAAATATAAAAGTTACGTACTGCAGCTTTAATTTAACTCCTTTTCATTTGTTTTGTTTTTTGTGATGATTAGAGAACGCGGGTTACTTAAAAGGACAAGTGAAGCCAAACGGTAAATCAAACAACATAATTGAAACAAAGTGCTGTTAAAGTATAAATAAATATGTAAAGTTTAAATCTGAATACAAACCTTGTCGTCTGTAGCGGTTGCATTTCCCACTCCCAGTCCGTCCCTGGAGGACTCGCCGGACTTTGTAGACTCCTTCACACCGGATGAAGGTGTGCAGGATTTATCCGATGGCACTGCGGCTTTACTGGACTCTTCACCTGTGGCAGAGACGCGGGGCGAGGCTCACCTGTCTGAGAATCCGGACGACCTGAAGCTGCCGCGGCAGATACAAATTCAGCAGCAACTCAAGCTGCATTTCCACCCTCAAGGCAAGTCCTGGAGCTGGTACAGTCTCTGCTGCAGGGCTTTGCAAAATTATTCATACAGGGGATGATTAATAGTTTGTTTTATTCAAATTAGTTCCAATAGATTAGCTATTAGACCTCATTTTAGTGTTGTAGTTCGGCCGCCATCCACCAGAGGGCGCCGCTGGTCATTGACTTGAAGTGGAGCCGTTGATAGAGAATCAAAGATGGCGGAGCCATACCATCACAGTAACGGTCCTAACAGAGTTATGTTTGGGATACAAGATGCACTTTATTCGGTTCTGTTTTGACATATAAACACCCGACAAAGTACTTTAGTTGTTTTGAAAAATAAATACTCGATAAGAGATTTAATTTTCACCTTTTATACCGATCATTCAGCCGGCTTTACGGTGGAGAAACGTGATTTTCTTAACCAAAAAGTATTAATGTGCAACGAAAGCGTGGATATGCTGGCAGAAAATTGTAACCTGATATAAAAAGGCTTGATAATAAAATGCACGGTTAATTTTGAGCGCTGTTTAAGCTTAATAATGTGAGATAAACTCAATTTTCTTTTTTTTAATGCCTGTTTATATATATATTTTTGAAGTCAGCATATATTTATTCCTTTGTGTTGTGGAAAGATCGACCGTCTTGATGAAAAACAACACTTTTTAAAGAAGATGTTGACATAAATTGATCGTTATGAGCAATCAATTTTAGAGTTACTTATTAATTGCTAACTTGCACCATAATTCTCATTTAATAGCTCTTTCTTACAAAAGTAATCTAACGTATATTTTATTGGATTTTTTATTTTTTGCTTTGGCAGGTTTAAATTTTACAGAATCATCACATTAAAGATGCATATCTGGCTCTTTTTTTAAAAACCCATTTTATGACGCTGCGTATTTTCACCTTTAGGAGGAAAGAAATATGATTTGAATGGATTCTTTGGGAACAGTGACCATCAAGGTAAGCATCATTTTACTCTAAATAAATAGCATTTTAAATTTATTTAGTCTTTTTCCTTACTATTTTATTTCTTTTCTCATAGATTGACTCAGCTGAGAAAACAGTCATGTTCCCTATTTCATTGTTTTCAGTTTTGTGTCTTTGTACATTATTTGTATGGATGTCAGCCATTTTTATGCATATGGTCCAGTTGACGTATGAAATTGCCAAACTGCAATATTCATTAGCCTCACAATAATGAATTTAGAAATCAATTAATCTTGAATACTTAGTGTTTCTGCTACCATGTAAGGTTTTTGTCAGGCTTTTACATGTATGTTAATCTGTTGTTTGTGAGATATTAAGATTTACATTGTTTTATTTTGGATAAACGCACCAGAATGTGTGTAAAATGCCAAACATGGACTTTCCATCTGTACTATAAGACAAAAATATGGCAAACTTTTCTGTAAGAAATACAATCTTGGGTTATTTTCATGGGGTAATATCACCATCTAACTGTTTTGGTTGTGTCTTTATTTTATTATAAACCAGTTTTTATTTTTTATTTTTATAATTTTTGTATCAAAATCCCTCTTGAGTGAGTTACTATCCTAACATATGAAGTAAACAATACAGAGGCGCCTAAATTATTTGAATTTATTCATCCACCAAACTAATTAATACAATTTAGTTAAATTATAAGATATATTTAATCATTTTTTTATCTGCATAATTGAAGGAAATGCTTATCAGAGCAAAGAATGAAACCATACACCGTCGCAGACTGGTAGAAGGCGAAGTGACCTGGAGCCAGTTTTATTGTCTGTTTTATTTTCCTCTTTGTTTGTATGCAGATTAAATCTTTCACCTTTATGTTCCAGTTCTGTTTTACTGTATATTTCCAGCAGCTCATTTAGTTGCTTTATTTGTTCCGTTTCCCATTCATGTTTAATAAAGCTGTTATTTTTACATCTTTACTCTAAATACTGCAGCAGTGATTCAGTTTAATTTGTGAAAGTCAGAAAGTTTCATAAATATTGTACAGTACTTGATTAAAACAACCAAATCCAAACTTCATGTCATTTGCTTTACATTTTCTCAACTTTATTTTTTTTATTTTGGGCAAAACACAAAATCTTACCAAGTATTCTTGGTCTAGTTTCAACTTCAAATTTATTTCAGCAAGATAGAAGTTTGTTTTAAATAAATATTACTAAATATTGATAAAGTATTGAGTCCATTGGTAGATTTATCTTAATATATGATATATCAAAATTTTATTTTTTGAGTGAAACTAGAGCTTTTTTTTAATCAATGTTTACTTAACACTTTGTTTTTGCAGTGTAACTGTAGTATTCCTCTTCACTACACTGTAAAAACATAAAATCTTACTAAATATTTTTAGTCTAGTTTCTAGATCAAATAGCTTAGCACCCTTGAAATAAGACTAAACTTAAAAATAACTTTTCAGCAAGAAATAGGAGTTTGTTTTAAGCCAATAATTTGTAAATATTGATTTGTTTTAAAAGTACTAATTCCACTAGCAGATTTATATATATATATATATATATATATATATATATATATATATATATATATATATATATATATATATATATATATATATATGGGATTTAGTACTTTTTTATGAATATGTACAAATTATTCACTTAAAAAATCTTTATGAAAAGTTACTCTTAAAGTCAGTTTTGTCTTATGTACTAGTATATTTTCATCAGAATACTGGGTAAGATTTTGTAGTTTTGCAGTGTGGTGAAGACAAACACTACAGCTGCACTGCAAAAACACAAATCTTACCACATACATTTGGTCTAGTTTCTAGTTAAAATGTCTCAGCACATTTTAAATAAGACAAAACTAATTTAAAATTAACTTTTCAGCAAAGATATAGGAGCTTGTTGAATCAATAATTCCACTGGCAGATTATTTCACTTTTAGATTTAATAATCTGCCTTTCTAAAAAGTACTTAGTAATATTTTGAGGTTTTGCAGTGTAGCTTCACCGTTTCTCTTTAAAGGAACTTCAGTGAAGTTAAAGCGCGAATTAGTTATTAACAATGACAAGGAGAAGCTGCATCAGTGCACATGTTCTTTTGCAGGGATTACCCCAGATTAGGAATAAAAGCCGCCTGCTGATTGGCTCGGCTCGAGCCGTGCCACTTGCAGCTCAACAGGTTGCATGCTTGGACTTGCACCTGTCCGGCGATGGATCTCAGAGCGCCCGGGCTTTTCTGCAGCTCATGTGGGAGCCGTGGCTGAGCGGCCTGAGCGTTGGGATGTAACCTCAGAGGAAGTGGTAGATCAGCTGCCGTGCGGAGTCGTGATGGGGCTTCACCGGGGTCCGCGGCTCTTGGACTTCACGAAGACGCCGCCGCACCTGCAGTTCAACAAGTACGTCCTGACGGGATACCGGCCCGTTTCAACCACAACGGACTGCCTCAGGAGCCTCTTCTACATGCACAACGAGCTGGGGAACATCTACAGTCATGGTAGGCTGTTAAAAAACTCTGTTTAGAAACCTATGGAAGACCATGTATGCCACTATGATGGAAAAAAAGAAACAACTTCTGTCTCATATTTATAAATAATTATGAGATACAACATGAGGAGCATCTTCACTCTGCAGGTTCCTCAAGTAAAAAAAAAAACACCTCAGTATTTCTATTTAGGAATCTATGGAAGAACATTTCTGCCACACTGATGGAAAATATCCAACTTCTATCTCATAATATTTAATAATAATTGAAATACAATAATTGAGATTGGATCATTACACTCATGGTAGGTTCCTCAAATTAATGAAAAAAATTCTGTTTAGCAGTATATGGAAGACCATTTCTGCCAATGTGATAAAATAAAACTTGTAACATAATTATATTTAATATTAATTTTAAAATATTTTTATTACATATATTTATATGAACCTACTTGTCGTTAATAAAAGTGACAAGGAAGAGCTTATCGAAGAATTATGACTTAATGTCTCAAAATTGAGATACCACATCATAATTATGAGAAGGAATCTCATAATTTTGAGAAAGCCATCATAATTATGACTTGGTTATCTCAATAATAATGAAATATTAAGTCATAATTTTGAGATACTAAATTGTATGACTAAGTATCACAGAGTTATGAAACACTAATCCATAATTATGAGGTAATCTCAAAAGTATGTGGTACTGTCTCATAATTTTGAATTTACTTTCCCTTTGGGATCAATAAAGAATATTTCAATTTGAATTTCTCATTATTTAAAGATTAGCGACATCATAATTATGAGATATACATTTTTGTTTATTTTTTTTTCTCCATCAATGTGGCATTAATGGTCTTCTATAGGAATCTGGAGCAAAGCTGAACAAAGTGTAAAAGCATCAGAATAAGTGGTGAAACTGCTTTAGCTAATTGGGATGTACTATGAAGGAAGAACTCAGCTCAGCACATGGTCTGTACTTTCACTTACTCTGGCTACACGCATCCCTGGGGGAAGTGTAATGAGGATATGGGGCATTAGCTCTAATCTGCCCCAGGAAGCCCAGAGTTGGAAATATCCGACGGTTAACTGGGTCCTTAAAGGTGACTCCTGCTGGGGAAACATCAGTCACCTGCAGACTGGGTCAGAATATTACCCGTTTGGTTCGTTTTTCACTTTTTACTGGTAAAATTTAAAATTTAGAGGTTGGGAAAAAGTTTTATTTTTCTTTTTGTCTCGTTTCCAACATGACCTTAGGGTCATTACCACTAACACTCTTACTGAGAGGACGTGAAGAGGTATTAGCATTAAAGTGCCCCATGTGTTGGAGCCGCTGCCACTTTGTATTATTTTTGTATTTTTAAAAGATAAAGAGGAAATACTTTGTTTCCTGACTTCAGTTTCATCAGAGGACGTTTCTGTGTAGCTGTTGTGATTAAATGTCACAATAAAAAGTCAACAGTACTCAAAAGTTTTGCTCAAGTAATACTAGCACTACTATGTGTTTACTGAAGTAAAAGTAAAAAGTGGCTGTCAAAGAAATTACAAGAGTAAAATTAATTTGGATAAAAGGCATCTCAAGTAACTGATCAAAAATTGAAGATAATTCATATAAACAGCATAATTACAAAATAACAAAATCAATCATATTTTTTAAAATCAATTTCTACCAATATAAAACTTAAACAACTGAAATTGTTAAAATGTTTGCCTTGTCAAACTTAAAAAACATTTCAAATTTTGAATATTTTTGACTTTTGAGACTGATAATTCCATGAAATTATTCTCAAAAATTTTCTTTTTTTTTGGCAGGAATTTACTCCTCCTTTTTGTCCTAAAAAAATATAACTGAAAAATAAAAAAAATTGACTTTTCAAATTGAAATTAATTTAAATTTTTCGTTTTTTTTTTTTTTTCTTTTCAAACTTTGAAATGTCCCTGTTTTCTCTAGATTTCTGAGATTAATCTCAAAATGTCTTGTTGGGAGAAATTTACTTCTTTTTTTATTTTATTTTACAACAGTCAATACTCCCGTCATAGATACTTCATAATAATGTTACTCAAATAAATGCAGCTAATTTCCCAGCTCTGGCAGTACCTTCCCATATTACAGGGTGTTTAGGCCTTGTACCCAGGTTTCCTCCATTTCCCCCCCAGGCATCCCCTTCCTGCTGTTCCTGGTGCTGCTGCCTTACAGTATCCCCTGGATGGAGGTGGACAGCACCTGGATCTGTGTCGCCCACTACCTGGCCTGCCTCTGCCCCACCATTGGCTCAGTGCTCTACCATGTGTTCATGAACCACATCGGCGGTGAGCATGTGTACGACACTCTGCTCTCCCTGGACATGGTTGGGGTCTGCCTGGTTAACACTCTGGGTAAGAATCCTGAAGGAAAGTCTGTTTAATGTGTTTTCAACACACAGTCAGCAGGTAAACCTGTCACAATAAACCAATTAATCACACAATAAATTAAAATGAACACTACAATTTCCATTTAGACAGCAGTTGTTAAAGACTTTTATCCAAGCATTTGGCAGCCAGTGCTAAGTAGCTAGTTCGCGCTACTTGCCTCTTTTTAAATGTTTTTTCTGTCGAAGCTGAATTATTTTTTGACATATAATTTTGTTTACCAAGACTTCATAATCTATTTTAATTATTATACATTTGTATAATAAACTTTGTTTATTTTAGATATATAATTTGTTGAACTTAGAAGGGCCTCCTGTCGCTTTAAATCCAAATAAGCAGCTACTGCTGGCCACGCCTTGGAGCTTTGCTTGGGTTGCTAGGTGACGGGCTGGGGTTGCTAGGTAACTGTGGAATTGGCTTACAGGGACTGTTTTTTAAAGGGCTTATTTCCTAGACAAAAGGGCTGGGTGGTTTTTATTTATTTAACTTTTTAAAGGGCTTGGGCAGTTTTTTTAGTAGCAGTTTTTTTTAGAAGCAGTTGAGAATCAAATGGAAACATTAAAAACATGGAAAATGTGAATTTGCATAATGGCTACTGCTAAAATCCTGTCTTTTTTAAATTATCTTTGTTGATAGTAAAAGGGATTGACAAAACAACAAAATCTATATTAACATAGAACTAAATAAATACAGCAAATGCAAGCAGATCAAAAAGTATACATATAAACCAAAAGCTAAGTCACAAAAAAATGTTAGTTTTCTTAACTGCTTTGCTCTTTTGATTTTATGCATATATTTTTAAACTAATAAAATTAGGTTAAAAATGTAGGAATGTTTGTTTTATTAGTGCTATAACAGAAGAACCTGATGTATGTCATATCGGTCTTCGTACAGGAGCTCTTCCCATCATTTACATCACCCTCCTGTGCCACCCGGCCGTCCAGCAGGCCACCATGTTGGCCTACATCCTCCTGTCGGCCTACGGGATCTACTGCGCCACCACGGCCCACACAAACTTCCTGCGCCTGCGGGCGTTCATCTGGCAGGCCTTGTTCCGCGTCAGCCTCTTCCTGTTCCGGGTTTACGGCAGCGGCGTGGGCAGCCCCGACTCGCTGCGGCTCTTCGTCATCATGGACGCCCTGGCCGTGCTGGGCGGCCTGGTCAACGTGATCCAGATCCCCGAGCGCTTCAGCCCCGGCCTGTTTGACAACTGGGGGAACAGCCACCAGATCATGCACGTCATGGTGGTCTGCTCCATCGTCTACCTGCACTGGGGAACCATGGCGGACTTGGCCTGGATCAAGACCTTCCAGTGTCCCGCTGGGTGAAGCTCTGGATGCTTGAGGATATTTTCACACCTGATGGTCCGGTAGATTTGGTTGGATTGGGGACAAAAATGGCAACATTTGTTACATTTTCAGCTGCTGCAGTTTGCTTTCTACAGAACCCAAGAGCGGATGTTTTCCGCATATACCTTTTCCCAATGGTTTTCTCAAGATAACTACAGTATTTTTCAGACTATAAGCCGCTACTTTTTCCACGCTTTGAACCATGTGGCTTACAGCTCTGTGAGGCATTTCTTTGGATTTTTCTTCAACCACCAGGGGGCGCTTTAGCAGGAAGTGAATCAATGGAAATCAAAATTGGAAATCAAGGAAGAAATCCCTCATTTTCATTTAAAACAAGCACATGCTAGCAGCAGGCACAATGGAGAAATCTTTTCAAACTCATACACCCTCATCATGGAAACAACACGAAGAAGTTCATATGATGCCATTTTTAAGTTGAGGGATGTCGATCTGGCAGTACAGGAGGGAAATAGAGCCGCTGCACGCAAGTTCGGCGTGAACGAATCCATGGTTGGAGACGCAGAGCTGCTTCCTTAATAGCAGACTTATTAAGGATGCAGCGACGGAAAACTGAGAGCAGCGGCTAATATATGTACATTTCCAGTTTATTTTTTTTTTTTTAAACTGTGGATGCGGCTTATAGTCTGGAAAATACAGTAGTTAATTTCTCCTTTATTTTCTGTAGGAAACCAGTTGATTTTTCCAGTGGTTTTCTGGAGATGAGTTCATTTCTTGATATAGTCATTTAATTTCCAAATAGTTTTCTCAAGATAACGAGCTAAACATTGTTTTCGAACAAACTTGTTCAAGCCACAGTGGCATGAAGCATGGAATCAGGTTGAACAAACACATCATCTCGTGATCTAAAGAAAACAAACTTTTCCAGCTTAACTCGTTATTTGGATAAAAAACCATCTCAAAACGTGCATGCAGAAAATGTCCGCTCTTGGCTTCCGTAGGTTTCACTCTGCGCCACGTCAGACAAACCAAAGCCTTTGAAGAACCTGTTCCCCTCCTCGCCTGAGGTGGCGCTGCACCAAAAGCCACTGAAGAAAACGACCTGAAGAGACCTCCTCCTTACCAAAGCGTAAACGAAAATGTAGCATCAAATTCAGTGGTTGTAGAATTTCTTTTTATCAAAACGGCAACATCTCATTTCTCCCTCCAGCGCTAGACTCGCCCGTTTGTTTTGATTGTATTTACCCAGAATGCTCTGTGCTGCAGTTCACTTCCTGCTTTTGGAGTGTATGAATTCAAACCACACCAGAGTTAATTTCAACCAAACCGAGACCAAAGTTTGTAAGTTTGTCTGCATTAGTTTGACAACACATTCACGCCTCCCCAGACAAACTAGGGATCTATTAAACAGAGCTGCTGTGAACAAACCCTTAAAATGCACTTTAGTTGTAGCTGCTCAAATCCTTTTCGGCAGAAGTTTTTAATGCCAGAGAAGAAGAGGAACCAACCGCACTGTTACTGAACTCTGATATCACTGTATCAGATGAAAATCCTGAGTTACTTGATTCATAGTTTACTGAGCTGCAGCTGTTTCTGGGTCGTGACCGATAACAAAAGAGTCTGTAAACTTGTAATGCACAATAAAGATTATATTTTTATATCTTGGGCTGATGTGTTTATTTCATGCATGATGGAAAGTGAAATGAGTCTCAGCAGCATGGTTCTCCTGTTTAATCTCAAAGAAAGATTAGCTGTATATACACTTCAAAAAAAAGGAAAATCTCTGAAATAAATCTGGATTTGGCAACAACTGGATTATTGTTATTTTCTAGCTCTTGCAGCTTTTCAAATCAAAAGCATCAACCCACTCTAAACTGCATTCGGTTATTTAGCCACTCAGAGAAACGCGTCACTTCGGTTTCACAGAAGTGGAAAAACTTTTGCTTCTTCTGCTGATTTGTTTCAACGACACAGAATCGCTGCAAAGCTGTGAACCGGGTCAGTCTTCGCCTGAGCTGCTGTCGTCTTCGGCGTCCGACAGGTCGGCGATGGGAAACCGCAAGATGGCGGCGACTCCGCTCAGCTGGGTCAGCTCTGAGGAAACAGTTCAGGATATTCATGACTCAAAAACACCAAGAGATTTTTAAGGCATAGTAAGTAAATAAAAATGGAGTGAGGGTGTCAAACAGCACATTTATCTAAGATGAAATGGTATAATTGCTTCTTTTACATTGTGTAGCATTAAAAAATATAAAATAAAATTATGATGATGATGCAGTAAAATTCAAACATTTTCAAAGTAAATTTTCAAACTTTTCCAGAACTTTGGAGATAAAAACGATACAAAGTAGAAAATACACTCTCAATTCATTATTACATATAATTTACTACTGTTAGTAAAAGGAATCAAGATGGCCGCCATCAAAGTTTTAACATTCTGAATTATTTAGTGAAAAAATGCTGTTTAAATGTGGAAAAATAAGTGAAACTGATGTGACTGTAGCACTTATTATGTCGACAAAATATCTGCGACTTACGTTCACCAGAGACATGAAGGCTTGAGAATATTCTGCATAGAAAAATATATGGACAAATCAACTGATCAATATGTGTAAATAATGTTAAATATATTAGAAACAAACAGATACAAGGCTAAATATATACAGTATTTAAATATTTATGTGAGCTACCGGACGTTTCCTCCGTTGTCTCTCACGTTGTCCACCAGCCGGACGTATCGACTCCGTGTCTGAATGTCCTGATGTCTGAACGCAGAACAAAAACAAAACGAAGAAAAGAGAAATAAAGAGAGTGAGAAACGACAGGCGGACGGTTTCTAAACCTTCTCATGTCCCGACTTGAGATTCAAGAGTTATCAAAACCTTTGAGTCACATTTCAAAACACAAAAACAAAACTTCACAGAAATATTGGTTGGCTGGTTTGATAGATGAGTAGAAAGATGGCTGATGGATGGAATAGATGGATGAATGGAAATATCAACTTAATGGATGGGTGCATAGTTGGACCAATGGGCAGGTGGATGGATGGATCATTTTCATGTTGAAACCAGTAAAAATGTGAATCAGTTGCAGCTAATGCTAATGTTTTCAGCAGAAACCAGTTCTCCCAGTTCATTCTGTGAACTCGTGACCCCGTCCGGTCTCTCTCTCTCTCCTCACCTGAACAACTTGTCGCTGATCAGCAGCGTGTCGATGGCCAGCGCGTCCGCGGCTCTTTCTACGTGAGCGATTCTGTACAAAAGGGAAAACCGACAAATGAGCGACAGGAGCTGCTGCTGGGCCAAACTGCTGGTTCTGGTTCCTGACCCATAGAAGGCTCTGTCGGGCTCATGCTGCAGCATCTTGTAGAAATCTTCCAGGGCTTTCACTTCTCCAGCCGCCTGGATGTCAAACACAAAAACTGATGAAAACTCCTTGAAAAGAGGAGGAAATCAGGTGAAGCTGAAACTCACCTTGGTGTCAGACAACCTGCTGGTCACGGCCGGGTCACACAGGATTTCTGCAGAACAAACAACCAGTTACGCCTCCAGCTGCTAGTTAGGGACGCGAGTTATCAATTATTCTACACACTAACTGATGACAAATTGACAAGTGGCCATTTTCTTAAAAACTTCAGTTTTCTCTTTTATCAAGATGGAAGACCATCATAACAAAGAGGTTTTTGGGGGTTTTTATGCACGAACAGACATATTCATACCGAAGTAACGTCTGTTGTTACTTCGCTTCATTAAGTGAATTAACTCACAGAGGCCCTTAAAATCAATCTTTGTTATTTCCGCCATGTTTTTCACATTTTTTTCTCCCATTATCTCCTCCACTTTTCTGTCATCACATCGTCGCCTTCGTCCCGCATCAGTAACTTTTCAGGAAGAAAGTGACGCTGCCCCGTCATGCAGCTCGGCTAAATGAGCGCTATTAAAGTGAAACTTGAGGATTTTGTCGACTGTTTAAATTTCAAAACAGAACCTCATAAAGTGCATTTTGCAGCTCGCACCGGACTCTTGCTTTGACCGTTACTCTTTCTGGATCGGCCGCCATCTTTGATTCTGTATCACC